ATGGATGAAGCAGAGGGCTCTGGCCTGGGCACCTGGGGCTGCCCCTGGATCCCTGGCAGTGCCAAGGCCAGGCTGGACACTGGGGCTGGAGCAGCCTGGGACAGTGGGAGGTGTCCCTGCCATGGCAGGGCTGGAATGGGATGGATTTGAAGTTCCTCCCAACCCAAACCATCCTTTTATCTGTTTTCCAAAAGGGAAGGTGCAATGGAAGTAAAGAGATGAACTCCTGGGGCTCCAGCACTGCCAGAATTCCTCAAGGAGTGACTCATGGAGGAGAAGCAGCATGGCTGGATTCCTCCTTCCTTCCTAACTCTGTATTTTGTGTGTGGATGCACCAAATAAATCAGGAATTTCCAGCAGCAGGGCCCTGGCAGGGATGTGCAGTGCAGCCAAGGGGATGCTGGGCTGCTGTCCCTGCCCTCTCCTGGGTGATTCCTGGGTAACACCTGGGTAAGAAACACCTGGGTGATTCCTGGATAACATCTGGGTAACACCTGGGTGATTCCTGGGTAACACCTGGGTAACAAACCCCTGGGTGATTCCTGGGTAATTCCTGGGTAAGAAACACCTGGGTAATTCCTGGGTAAGAAACACCTGGGTAATTCCTGGATAACATCTGGGTAACACCTGGGTGATTCCTGGGTAACACCTGGGTAACAAACACCTGGCTGATTCTTGGGTAAGAAACACTTGGGTGATTCCTGGATAACTCCTGGGTAACACCTGGGTGATTCCTGGGTAACATCTGGGTAATTCCTGGATAACACCTGGAGAACACCTGGGTGATTCCTGGGTAAGAAACACCTGGGTAATTCCTAGATAACAGACTCCTGGGTGATTCCTGGGTAACACCTGGGTAATTCCTGGGTTACAAACACCTGGATCAGGTGCTGCTGGGGCCACTCCCATCTGGGAGAAGCCCAGGGCTGGGGTTCGGGATGCTGGAGCAGAGCTGAGGGCACAGAGGGAGATTCCAGATTCCAGAGCTGTGCTCTGGCAGTGACTCCTGCCCAAAGGCAGGAGACACAGCAGCTCCATCCCCAGCTCTGCTCTCCCAACCTTGAGCACTGTTAGTAAATCCATAATCTCTGCAAAATCATTTATTTGGGACTGTTTAGCTCTAAACTTTTAACTGCTTAGCCCTGCTAAATCCACAAGCTCATTAGCTCTCTTCAGCTGCGTTAATAACGATAATCTCTTTAATGAGAACAACTCTGGACAGGATTTACCTTCCCAAAAAACCCTTGACTGGCACTCAGTACCCTTCTGCCCTCTAATTCTTCCCCAAGTGCCAGGGAGCTGATCAAGAGCAGCCTGAGGAGCAGAGGCCAGGTCAGCCCCTGGCAGAAGGTGGAAGCTTTTCCCAGCTCCTCGTCCTTCCCTGGAGTCTGGAGCAGTGGGCAGCTCATCCCCACTGGCTCAGGCTGGAGTGTCAGCCCTGCCTGGGCTCCTGCAGGGAGGGGCTGCCTCTGCTGCTGGGAATATCCCCTGGGGTGGATGGAGAGGTTCCTGCTCCAGGGGGGTGTGGCTGGGTGGGATTCCAGCCAGCCTGGGGGGGCTCTCGGGTTTGCCTCCTTAGAACTGGGTTTAATCTGCTCCTTAGAACTGGGTTTAATCTGCTCCTTGTTCCTAAGATCTCTCTTGGTTAACAACTAAACAGCAGCAGCAGCAACAAAAGAATGAGAGGTTTATCATTAATTTGCCTTTCAAGGATTTTCCTTTCATCTCCAAGTTTCCTACATTTCACATTTTCTAGCACTTCTGTTGTCTGCATTCCCTTTTTTTTCCCTTTATAACACTGTCTTTTTAATGGCTGCTTTGATTTCTGTGGTTTGTGGAAGGGGTTTCCAGCCAGGCTTGGCTTTTGTGGCTGCAGCATCCCTGTTGTGGTTGCATCTTCCTGACACTCAGGAAAAACAACCCCAGACTCCCCTCTCCTGCTCCAGAGTTCATCCACATCACACTCCATAATTCCATTCCTGTGCTGCCTTTGGGGAACTGACCTTTGTGAAGCAAGAATCTATTTTTGAGTGAATTTAGAGAGGAAAACCAAAAGCCTAAACCAAATCAATGTTGACCATTTTCCTGCATTCCAGGCTTTGCAGGGGGAGGCTCCAAAGCAGGAATGTGGTGGTGGCACAGATCACACACTTCACAGAGCACCCTGATTTCACTCCTTGCAGCAGTGGGGATTTTCCTGCTGGGTAATTTGGGTCTCTCTTGTTATCTCATGCCATGATAAGGCTGCCCCAAACCCCCAGCCTGTTCTTGCTCCACTGCTGAGGAGTTTGGAGAGGGTTTAAAGGGAGCTGGATAAAATAGGATTGCACTTCCCAGCTGACAGCTTTTGATAAGAGCCCCAGTGCTGCTCCCCACTCCTTTTGTTTGCCCTGGGAGCTTTCCTGCCTTCCTGGGTCCTGTTCAGCCTCAGGAATCCTGGCTGTGGTTCCTTCTGGCAGGTGCAGCCAGAGCAGCTCAGGTGGGAAATCTGGACCATCTTCAGGACCTTTTGTCATCCTGGTGTCTAATAAATCATTTTGGAGGTTGCAAATGGCCATTTGTATTGTTCTGAAGAGGGGGAGGCAGGGCAGGAGGGGGGTTATAAGAGGGAATTTGAGTGCCTGGCAGCAGCCAAGGTGAGGTAGAGGCTGGTGCTGCCCTGGCAGGGACCCCAAACTGCCCCATTACCTGCAATTCCTGCAAGGAAACATCAGAGTAAAAGCTTTGGGTGTGCTCAGAGGGGTCGAGCAGCCTCTAGCACCTGTCCCAGACTCCCCCCACCCCACTGCCCTCTCTATATTTACCCAGGGGGAGCTTTCCAAGAATGGAAGTGGTAAGATAAAACCCCAGAGGGGCTAAAATTAGCCTCAGTGCCCCGGGCCGGTCCTGCTGTGGCATTTCAGCTGTGAGCTGCACAGCCCCAGCCCCACACAGCCCCAGCCCTGCCAGAGCCTCTCCTGCTCTGCCCTGTGGGGCTTCAACCACAGCAGGACTCCCCATGGGACCCCCCTGGCCTCAGGGGCTCTGAGCATCCCCCACACCCAGGTAAGGTGGCACCGGGACTGCTGGGGTGAGGGGGGGACTGGGACCCAGAGGGACAAATGTGAGCCCTGTGTGCTCTGTCACAACCTCTGGGGGTCTGCAGGGGCTTGCACAGCCTCTGCCAGCTCAGGGGGTGACAGAACAGTGAGGGTGGGCAGGCCCTGGCACAGGGGTCTTGGAGCTGTGGGAGAGAGGGAAGGGATGCATGTGAATGGGAATCAATAAAAACCTATAAATAATCCAAATCCCCATGGATGAAGCAGAGGGCTCTGGGCTGGGCACCTGGGGCTGCCCCTGGATCCCTGGCAGTGCCCAAGGCCAGGCTGGACACTGGGGCTGGAGCAGCCTGGGACAGTGGGAGGTGTCCCTGCCATGGCAGGGCTGGAATGGGATGAACTTTTAAGTTCCTTTCAAAACCAAACCATTTTGTGATTCCATGAATCCTGGTTTGGGCTCTCCTGGATAAGGAGCCCCTCAGCCCAAGGAGCCTCCCTCTGGAGGTGCTGTTTGTGTGCTCAGGAGATGTCACAGCTGCTCTTTTCCTTTTCCACACCATCCCCTTGGGGCTCTCACTGGGAACACAACTGTCTTTTTGACTCAAACCTGCAGGAACCCCCAGCCCATTCTCCATGAGGGTGGGTGATCCCAAAGCTCCAGAGCTCATCCCTGGTGTGTCCAATGAAGAGCAGCATTGGAATTTCCCACATTTCTGCATAAATTGGGCTAACGGGTGGCAGCCCAGCAGAGCTTTGCTGTTGCTGCCATCACACTTGTCCCAGTGTGCCCAGCTGTGCTGGTGGCCTTGCTGGGGTCCCCCTGAGCTGGTGGCCGTGTCCCCATGGGTGATGTGGGACAGGCACCAACGAGCTCAGGTGCATAACGAGGCTAATTACTCCTTCTGCTTATCAGATAATTAACTGTTTGCTATGCCTCCTTTGCTAATTAATTGTCCCGTGCAGCTCCTTGGCCTCTCCCAGGCCAGGTCAGCCCCGGCTCTGCCTCTCCCGGGGAAACCCGAGCTGCCCCGGGCTGCCGAGACATTGCTCGGCCCACCCCGAGCGTTTCCAGCTGCTCAGGTGCCCCCCGGGACATCCCATCCCTGTCCCCGCTGTCCCTCGGCTCCTCAGGCCACATCCCGTGCGCAGAGCCCAGCAAAGCTCCAGGGTTTGGTGCCGCTGCTGTGATCAGCTCAGCACTTCCACCCTTCCTGCCCCAAAGCCCCGAGCAGAAACATCCCAGACCCTTCTGCAGCCGTGATCAGGGGGCTCCGGCAGGCAGGAGGGAGGAAAAGAGTGGGATTCTGGCATCGTTTGGGAAGGGAGATGCTGGGAGATGTTTGATCCCCAATCAAACTGACCGCTTCACATTCACCTCCTCCCTCAGGACTGGGGACAAGGCATGGAGGGACAGGACACAGGGAATGGCTCCCACTGCCAGCAGGCAGGGATGGATGGGATATTGGGAATTGGGAATTGTTCCTGGCAGGGTGGGCAGGCCCTGGCACAGGTGCCCAGAGCAGCTGGGGCTGCCCCTGGATCCCTGGCAGTGCCCAAGGCCAGGCTGGACATTGGGGCTGGGAGCTCCTGGGACAGTGGGAGGTTTCCCTGCCACGGCAGGGGTGGCACTGGGTGGGCTTTAAGGTCCCTCCCAACCCAGACCAATCCATGATTTTATGGGGTCCTGACCTACATACCCACTACAGCACTGAGCTCCGTCGTTCCCTCAGCCTTTCACCCAAGTGGCGCCAGGACCATGAGCACATCAGCAGCATCCTCATCCAATGTTTGCCCATTTTTTTTGAGAATCTTCCTTTTGTTGAGTACAAACTTGCACTAAAATGCAGCTGTCGGTGTCAGGGACTGGTTCTAACTCGGGTTTGGTGCCGGTTCTGCCATCCTGTAGATCTTTGGCCTCATCCTTTACCATGAGAGCGGCACATGGAGCCCAGACCCGACAAGATGAGCCTGATGGACATCAACAAGATGTTCTCCCTGCTGCAGCCCAGGGATGACGAGGAGGACAGCGGGGAGAGCGAGGAGCTGAGCCGGGCGGTGAGCCAGGATGACCACGAGGCTCTGGCCGGGCTCCTGTCGCAGGACAGGTACCGCAGGCTGATCAACCGGCGGAGCGGCTGGGGCGTGCCCAGCACCCCCCTGCGCCTGGCGGCCTCCCGGGGCAGCGTGCGGAGCCTGCGGCTGCTGCTGGAGCACGGAGCGCTCGTGGACAGCCTGGACGTGAAGGCGCAGACCCCGCTCTTCGTGGCGGTCAGCAACGGGCACGGCGAGTGCGTGCGGCTGCTGCTGGAGGCCGGCGCCAGCCCCGCGGGCAGCGCCTACAACAACTGCTCGCCGCTGCTGCTGGCGGCCCGGGACGGCCGGGCGGGCATCGTGCGGCTGCTGCTGGAGCACGGCGCGGAGCCCAACGCGCGGGCCCGCCTGCCCGAGTGGGCGGCCAACACCGCGGCCTGCTCGGGCCCCCTCTACCTGGCGGCCGCCTACGGGCACCTGGAGTGCTTCCGCCTGCTGCTGCTGCACGGCGCCGACCCCGACTACAACTGCACCGAGCCGGCCGTGCTGGCGCAGATCCGCGAGCCCAAGACGCTGCTGGAGACGTGCCTGAGGCACGGCTGCCGCGCAGACTTCATCCGCCTGCTCATCGACTTCGGGGCCAACGTGTACCTGCCCGGTGTGCCCCACACGGCCGGGCCGGGCCCGCGCAGCGAAGGGCTGGAGCTGCTGCTGCACGCCAGAGGTGACCGGGAGGGGAGCCCAGCGTGGGACAGGCACGGCTCGGCTCCGATTCCCCCTTCCCGACAGCCACACCCGGCCTTCCTTCAGCCTCGCTTGTCACTTGGCTGTGCGGGTCAGGGGCTGTCCCTGGGTCCCCGCAAGTGTCCAAAGCCAGGCTGGATCAACCTGGGATAGGGGAAGGTGTCCCTGCCCATGGAATGAGATGAGCTTAAATTCCCTTCCCAACCCAAGCCCTCCTGTGATTCCACGATTCCCACAGCCTGGGTGTCCCCTCATTGTGGGGTTACCCCCTGCTTTTCACCCTTGCTCTCCTTTCTGCTGCTCAGCTTGGGCTCTCCTGTGCCACCCAAGTCTAAAACCCTGCACCTATTTCCATGTGGGGATGGGAGATTTCCTCTCCATGCCCAGCTCCCATGGGAGCTTGTGTCAGTCCATAGCCCCACCACAGTGGCTGAGTTTTCATAGGATGGTTTCATGGAATGGTTTTTCATGGAATTTTCATAGGATCATGGAGTTTTCATAGGGTCATGGAACGGTTTGGGTTGGAAGGGACCCAGAGATGATTTTGTCCCAACGCTGTCTGGTTTGCTCAGCCCATGTCCCTTTACTTCAGGCAATGCCAGGTTGGAGGGCAGCAGGGTTGTGTGTTTTGAAGGTGACCGTGTGATTTTCCTTCCACAGCTCATCCCAAATCCCTGCTGTCCCAATCCCGGCTGGCCATGAGGCGCCTCCTGAAGCAGCCCAGCTGCTCGGCCACCCTCGGAGAGCTGGAGATTCCCACAGCCCTGGCCAAATACCTGCAGTACCAGCTGTGATCCCAGCCTGCCCAGGGACACCCACTGAGCACCCCAATGAAAACCTGCTCCACCCTGGCAGTGAATCCCTGAGATCTGTGGAACCCCCAGGAATTTGTGGTCACAGGTTCATTTTTGCTGCCAGGTGTCTCCAGAAAGCAGTGCCCATGTAGAGAGATGGGAAGGGAAGGGAAGGGAAGGGAAGGGGGAGAGAGAACAGGAGGTCTCAGCTCCTGGTTTGCAGCAAAGCAAGGATAGAGCAGGATCTGGTTCCCCTGGGCTTGCCTCACACTGTCTGTACTGAGGGATTTTACACCTTTAGCTGATTTTGGCTGGAGAAGGGGCTGGGAAAGAGTGTGGAAGAATTCTTGGCTGTGAGGATGGGAATTGTTCCCTGGCAGGGTGGGCAGGCCCTGGCACAGGTGCCCAGAGCAGCTGTGGCTGCCCCTGGATCCCTGGCAGTGCCCAAGGCCAGGCTGGACACTGGGGCTGGAGCAGCCTGGGACATTGGGAGGTGTCCCTGCCACGGCAGGGGTGGCACTGGGTGGGCTTTGAGGTCCCTCATGCTTCCAGGATTCCCAGAGAAGTCCCCAAGTGCCTCCTCCATTTAGGAGGGGCAGGATTTGGGCTGGTCCCAGCCATGTGTGCCCACCCCAACGAGGGCAGAGCCCAGTGCTCCCAGCTGGTAGCACAGGAGGGGCTGGGAGAGCCCCAGCTCTGACCCTAAACATCGTCTGCTCAGCCCAAAAGTGCTTCCTGTTGTGGCCAAGGGTCTCCCATGGCTGGGCAGGGCTGGGGTTTGGATTAAAGTGTTCTGTTCTTGCTATGAAGCTGCTGTGGCCTGTCTGGTGAAACTCCCCACATTGGGCAGCCCTGCCAGGATGGCTGGGCAGGGATGAGGGAATGGCTGCACACAGGGAATTCCAGGCTGGAGGGGGGCATCCCAGCACCCCCTTTGTGTCCCTCCATCTCTCCTGCCCTGGACACTGGGATTGCCCTCACCAGTGGGCTGGAGGTGCCCTCCTGGCTCTTCCCACAGCCAGGAGCTGATGGATCAATCCTGCTGCTCCCTGGCAGCTCAGTGCCCACCCAACCATGGTGCTCTGGATGTTCTGGATGCTTTTGGGATGCAGCAGAAGTGTCCCATGCTTCATTCCCTCCTGCTCTGTGCCATCCCAGAGGGAAGTGCTCCCATGGCTCACAGCTCCAAGGGTGGCTCTGGGCCAAACACAGGCACCTCCCTGCTGGATTTATGGGCCTGTGTCAGGGGCTGTGGGATCTGTTAATCAGCATCTATTAATTAGGCTGTGGGCCTCTCCCAAGGGGAGCATTAGGCCTTGGAAGCAGCCTGGACAAGGCTCCATAGGGAATGATGACACTGCTGCCACTTCTGTCTCCTCGCAGCCCCCAGCAGGAGCACAGCAGGAACTGGGGGCTGGCAGAGGCTGTCCCGCGGGGACACTGCCACTCCCTGCTGTGATTCCCACTCCTCATCCTCTCGTGGAGATCTGAGGGGCTTTTGGGATTTGGGGATCCCAAAAATGGAGAGGGCTCTTCCCTGCCGGGCTGTCAGTGCCTGTGGGACAGAGGGTGTGCAGCGGTGGGGGGCTGGCAGTGCCGTGGGTGACACAGCACACGCAGGGAGGTGTCCCACAGCACACACGCCGTGTACACACTGTCACATCCCTGCGCCCCCCCGTGCCACACACCGTGTGACATCCTCCCCCCCCCCCCGGTGTCACACACTGTCACATCCCTGACCCCCCGGTGTCACAGGACAGGACAGGACACCCTCCCGTGTCCGTGACCCCGCGTGGCCCGCGGCTGTCGCTCCAAGGCCACGCCCCGTACAGAGACCACGCCCCCTTGTCAATCATGTCCGCTAACGAGGCCGCGCCCTCAGCACAGGGACGCGCTCTGAAGCCACGCCCACTCCGCCACCGGGACGCCCCTAGATCGCCCCGGGCCACCGGGGAGGACACCGCGGGACGGCCATGGGGGGACACCGTGGGGACACCGTGGGGACCGCGCCCAGCGGCCCCGCCCCGTCACCGTGACCCCGCCCCGTCCCATTGGGCCCAATGTGGAGACCGCGCCCCCCCTCACGTACAGGCCCCGCCCCCCGCCGCCGCGCCCCGTCAATCACCGCGCCCCGCCCTCCAGGCCCCGCCCCCTCCGCCCCCCGTCAGGAGGCTCCGCCCCGCCCGTCATGCGGCACCGCCCCTGCCGGCCGCGCCGGGCGGACCCGCGGCCCCGCGCCCCTCGCGCGGCCTGAGGGCTGGGCCGGGGCCGCGGTCCCGGGGGTGCCGCGGTGCCGCCGCCCGCCCGTGGTAAGTGCTGGGCACGGGCCGGGCCCGGGGCCGCGCTCCCCGCGCCACCGCTCCCCGCGGCCCGGACCGACCCCCCCTTCCCCCCCCGCCCCTCGCGTTTTCACGGATCCTCCCGAAAGTTTGGGAGCGCGGCGGGGGGAGCGGGGAGGGCCGGCCTGGGGGAGCGGCCCCGTGCGGGGCTGGGCGGGCCGGGGGTCCCGAGGGTCCCCTGTGCGGGTGAAACGCTGCATTTCATTGTTACCGTGCTGCTTTTTGTTGGCTTTTAAACCTTATTTTTCATGTTCTGTTGGTGGTGGCTCTTTGCCCTCGGTGCCCTTTATTTCCCTTTCTTTCATTTTTATTTATTTCATTTCATTTTCATCCTACCCCAGCCTCCCCTCCGCAGCCGTGCCGCGGTGCTGACGTGGAGCTGGAGAGGAACGATTCCCAAAAGGAATTTTTGTAATGCTGGCCCTGTCTCGTGCCCTTCCCCGGCTGTTTTGCAGCCGCCCCTGTCCAGGTGCGGGTTTGGGTTCATTTCCCCCCCTTTTCCAGCAGCTCCGCACCCGGCCAGGTGCGAGCATTTCTCCCAGGCCCCTCTCTCCCGGTCTCTCCAGAGGCTTTGGAGGCTCCTGGGACTCGTGGTGGGCTCCGGCAGAGCTGGAAAAGCCCAGTTCGCCGCTGGGGAGGTGGCTGTGCCAGCCGGCTACGCCCCAGCTGCTGCTTCCAGTGGGACAGGTGAACGTGAGAGGTTATCAGCAATCCCAGAATTCCAGAATCATGGAATGGGCTGGGTTGGGAGGGACCTTAAAGCCCATCCAGTTCCAGCCGTGCTGAGGGCAGCGATGCCAGATCAATATAGAGGCAAAAGAACCCAGACCTGAGGAATAAAAATAACCCGGAATTGCAGGTTTGCTGTGGGGCTGCAGGAGCAGAGAGCATCGTTTGGATGTATTTTTTAATTTGGGAACTCTGGCTAAACACCTCGGGAAGGTTTCCTGGCCTCCTGTCAGTCAGAGCTCAGCCTGGGGCATTTACAGCTTGAGAGCACATTAGGATTTTATTGCATTTAATTTCTCCACCCTCACCTCTGCGAAAGAAACATGATTATAATTGTTTTATTTCTGCTGTTCCTGACAGCAATCCAGGGTCAGATTTCAAACCTACCTCTCTGCTTCTGGGATAATCTGATCAGAGGGTTCACAGTGGGTGTTTTTAAGGCGATTCTCTCTGGCTGCACAGATTATTTTAAAAACAACTGAAATCTTCTATGTAAAAAAGCCAGGGTAGTAACCAGAGTGGTTTTTCCCCGGACACGTGTGTAGGGGGGGCTGTGTCCTGGTTTGGCCTCCCTCCGGATGCTCTTTGGAGCCTGGCATGAGGCCTGGAAGAGCTGGGATGGGGTTTGGGAGGTGCTAGCTCTCAGTTCAAGGTAGCCAAACCTGATCATCCTGGAGACAGAAAATCTGGGAAGCTGCAGGGCTTGGAGCGAGGAGGTGCAGGGCTCAGACTTGCCTGTCCCGAGGGATTCTACCCACGGGGGATGTGTGGTTTTCCTGCTCTGGTGAACTGGTACATTTAGGCGACATTTTGGTGCCTGGATTTTGGAAGCGGAGGCAGAGCTTGGAGGCTCCTCCAGCTGGTGATGGAGCCCTGAGACCCCGGTGCCTTCAGCTCTGCCCCTTCCCCTGCCGTGTCCTCCTCACCTGTGCCCTCTCCCTGTGCCTCAGGTCGGCGGTGATGTGTCCATCCCTGCGCCCGGAGCTCCGCGCTCCCAGAGCCGCCGCTTCCAGCTAGATCCAAGCCCGCCCGCTGCCATGGAAACGGGCAGCCCGGAGGAGCGGGACGGAGGGGACCGGCGGCGGCAGGAGGGCGGGGACGGCCCTCCCGACAGCGCCAACGGCTCCGTGGTGGCAGCGGAGCCGCAGCAGCCGCCCCCCGGCAAGCTGAGGAAAACGGCCTTCAAGCTGTTCGGGGGCAAGCGCAGCATCTGCACCCTGCCCAGCTTCTTCGGTGGCCGCGGCAAGAAGGGGCTCAGCAAGTGCAAGACCCACGACGGGCTGAGCAGCGCCGCCTGTGACAAAGGCGGTGCGGCACGGCCGGGCAGCCCCTCGGAGGGCGGCAGGGACGGGCAGCCCGCGCCCCTGCCCGGCTCCCGCAGCGCCCAGCTGGCCCTGGACACCGGCAGCAGGGGGGAGCTGGGCCAGCAGGACGGCTCTCCCCCCGGGAGCATCGAGGGCTGTGACAAAAAGCCCAACGGGGAGAAATCCTCATGCCCCAGGGCCAAGAAAGGGCTGAAAGGGTTTTTTAACAGCATCCGGCGGCACCGGAAGAGCAAGGCTGCCGAGAGCGAGAAGGCAGAGCTCCCCGAGTGGAACGGGGACACGGAGGAGGCCGGGAGTGCTCCTGGGATGGGAGCAGAGAGCCGAGGGGCTGTGGAGGGCAGGGGAGCAGGGCCGGGCCCTGAGGCCACGGCCGGCCCAGGGGACTCAGGGGGTGACTCCAGCTGTGGTGAGGCCACCGAGCCCACGGGCCCCGCAGCCGACGGAGGCACCTCCGAGGGTGACACGATGGCCGTGCCAGGGAACGGGGACGTTCCAGATACAAAATCAGAGCCTGAGGCTGCTGCCTGCGCCGAGTTTGACCGTGAGAGTTTGCTGCTGGCCTTCCACCCTGACTTCATGGACAGCGAGCCTCCCTGCCTGCCCTCTG